TTGTGGCAGTGTTGCCTAAATTTAGCAGGCGAGAAGCATCAGGGCAGATGGGGCCTGAAGAAAACGCCTCTCTGCTTTAGCATCTCGACTTACAGTGTGCTAGTGCGGTGTACCCAGGCCAGGCAGCTGTCTTCAGGGGCGATTTTCTACTCAAACTTCTTTATTTTCTGTTTATGATATCAGTAAAAGATGTGGCCAAGAATCTCATGCCCAGACCTCATCTTCGCGTATGTTTTGTGCTGGCTTCCACCCTCCATTCCTAAGCCTAAAAAAGTTTTTCTGAGTGAAATCCTCTGAGGAATATAGAGTTGGCTTCTTTTTCTCTTTAACATGGCATATTTTCTACAAATCTTAGGGGTGTAAATTCCTAAAGACAGCTATGAATCCAGTGCAAGGGCCGGCAGCAGGTCTGCCTTTTGCGCCCACACACAGGGAAGCCGCTGCTCCCTGTGTCCTGCAGACCTTTCAGAAGGGTCACCTGCCCACCGGGGACAGCAGCGCCCGGAGCACACACTCCGAGCAGTGCTGCAGCAGCCACTGGCTCCTGGCCCTGGACTTGCACACTCCCAGACTGGTTTGAGAGCCCACACCTTCAGGGCTGTGCACCGCGCAGATGAGGTCAGGCTGTCGGCGACAGGAAGGAGAAGAGTGGTTGTCGGGGTCTGATTAGGTGAGCCAGGTCCAGGTTGAAATTTGGTCCTCAGTTTTACTTTTCCTTTTCACGGGAGTTCTTCAGGATTGTGATGCAGTAGCTCTTGATGGCCATGAGCTTGCTCCTGTCCCTACTTAATAGATGTTTTGAATCAGTAGGAATGAAGAGCTCAGTGTGTGTATGTGTTGTAAGGTCAGCTCAGCATTACCCCGTATCTCTTAAACTGGTGACAAAAGCCAACATCTCCTTAAGAAGATATCTTGCCAGGGGGTGGGAGGGCTGAAACAAACCTGTAGCTTGGAATGTGAGGTTGTTTTGTACCAGGCTGCAGAGTGTGAGAAGGTGCCCCTGTTCCCCGCCCACCCTGCACTAGCTGACCGGTGCTTCTCACACCCTCCTGGGCACTGCTCACCTCAACCCCACGCTTCTCCTCTGAGAACAGCCTGCTTTGCCCCCCATGCAGCTCTGCAGTGCTTGTGGCTGTCCCCTGCTGTGGTCCACTCCGCAGGACATCCTTGTCCTCCGCCTCCATGCGCCATGCGTGGGGCCGTGAACCTCAGGACACAGTTCCGAGGCCTGGCTGCCCTGATGAGCTTGCAGGCAGGAGGATGGCCTGGAAGGAGCTTCCTTTTGCAAAGCAGCCTGTCAGTTGAGTTCTTCCTGGGACTTGTATTTGTGATGTCTGAGAAAGAAGAAGACAACAGTGAAATTTAGAAATTACACTTGAAACAAGCGAGAGCCCTGCTTTCCAAGTTTGTGTTTGTGTATCGTTTTAAGTGTAATCTTTAGTTTCAGGCCCAAAGAAAGACTAAAACCTTACTTTTGGTGGTTACTTGTTGAAACAGAAAACAGAAATGTTAGAACTGTAGAGAACAGGGGCTCGGACAGTTGTGACCTTTGGTTCACACTGAGCCTCTGGAATGCTTCCTCAACTCTCCTTAGCCCTGTTCTGTTGTTCTTAGCCTGAGCACTAGGCTGTGCATGGTGGTGCATGCTAGTAATCCGGCACTCAGGAGGCTGAGGCAGGAGGACTGCTCAGAGTTCGAGATCTGCATGGGCCACAAAGTGAGCACAAGGCCAGCCCAAGCTGCGCAGTGAGACCCTGTCTCAAAAACACAAAAAACAAAAAAACCCTGAGCACTAAGCCGTGAGCCGAAAGCTTTCGATGAGGACCCTCCCTGACTCTCTCTCCCTTCCTTCCCTTATGTTTGTTCCTAGGTTTCACCAGGTAGCTTCCTTCCAGTTGGCGTCATGAATGCCTGGTCAGTCGCCCCAGCAGAGGCAGGCACCTTTGCTTCACTCTCCTCTCCTCTCCCTGTGCTGCCCCCTCCCCTCGTCGCTGTCCCTGTCCAGGCGCGTGCAGACCTCTGCAGGAGCCACATGTTCCCCAGGGATTTGCTGCTTTGTCTCCATCCCTCCAGGGAGCCGTTCTGGAGCACAGAGGCGCCCTTTCTGCTTGCTGAGCTCCGACCTGCATTTCAGTGCAGTAGGAACCGAGCTCTGCAGGTGAAGAGCAATCACGGGACCCTGAGAGGCTCCGCAGGCTGAGAGCCGCAGGATGAGAGCCGCCGGCTTCCGCGATGCTGCTTTCCTGAAGCATCGTGGGCAGTGCTACTATCCTACATATGTAGTGAGATTTCTACTTCATGAGAGAAAGTAACCAGCTTTATTTTTCTGCTCTTTCAGAATACTAGAGGTGATGGGAGGGTGTGAATACCATACAACCAGTGCTGCCCCACAGGGAACTGCTGCTGTTTTATTACTGATGAGCTTTTTGGGTGGTTCTAGAATTTTCTAAGTTCCTCCTTTTCTGTCTCTAAGCTGGCTCTGCTTTCTGTACTGTAGCTGACCATGTCCTACCCCTTCTCTCTGCCTGTGTCTCAAGATCTCACCAGAGAGTAGACCTCTGTGGAGGTTTTCTACGAGGAGACATCGCCTCCGTGTCTCGTTAGAAGCTTTGGTACAGTTGCACTCCTTAGCACCAGGTTAATTTTAAGTCCACCCAGCTGTCTGGAGGCCCTGGGGTCTGCGTGCTGCTTTCTGAATTAGTAACTAACTGCCGTGAGCCATGTGTGTGGGGGGGCATCTGAAGCCTTTTTAAAGTAGCTCCAGTTCTGTCAGCGGTGGCCTCAAAGAGATGGGTGCTTTGTTAATGACTAAGCCAAAATAAATAGGTGTTCTTGGGTGGCAGGCAGCTGAACGCTTTCGGCCGTTTTGACTCCTTCCATGGCTGTATTTGCATGCCTCTTGAGGTGATGGCAAGGGGCTGTGAGCCTTTCCCCCGGAGTGGACAGTACCGAGGCCATTGTTGCTGAGCATGTCCTTGCATGGTGACACCTAAGCCTCCACTGTGCGGCTCCCAGCACCAGGATGGGCCAGGACACTGGGCTGGATTTGGATCCTACCACAGGCCAACCAGCAGCATCTGAACCAGGCGGGAGTTCTCCCCTGCCTCTTGGGCGCACTCATACGGGGCTTGCTTGGAGCTGCTGGGACTGCCGGGAGCAGTGTGGAGGGAAGGATGCTTGCAGGTCTTCCTGGCTGGGCCCTTGGAAGTGTGGTCAGAGGGAGCTTGGAGGAAGTGTGTGGGAGGAAGGAATTTCACAAGCATCTGGACCAGATCCAACGGCAACTCTCACTTAAAAAAGTTGGTTGAGTCATTTCAATGGCAGCTGTCGGAAATGAACATCAGCGCGAGTATCTGAACCAGCCAGTGCATCTGGCCTCGATGGACCAGAGCGAAATGACTGCTGTCTTTCTTTACGGTACATTTCCTGTCCAGTTGTCCTGCCTGTGAGTCACAGCACTCTGCTTCTCTGGGTCCGGAGCAACTTTAGAACCCCTGGCTGTTGTCCCACCAGCACAGAGACAGCAGGAGGTGGGTGGGAGACAGAAGGTGAATGGAGGGCAGAGCCGGGGAAACAGCAGCTGTGCAGGGGCAGCGTGGCCTGGCGTTGCTTGCTGGCCTCTCCTAAGTGTGAAAGGAGGGCGGCGGGTGCTATCTCTGGGTTCCCGCTCTGAGCAGGGTTCAACCAGAAGGGGTTTATTAGAAACTGGTTGAAAGCAGATGGTTTTCCCAGAAGCCACGGAGACTCACACAGAGCTGAAGCTGCAAGAACCGTCCGTCTCCTGACAGCAGCCCAGGAGCGGGCAGCCATGAGGCGCAGGCTGCCACCCTCGCTTTCGTCAGACCCGATCGCATTCAGAGGTTTCCTGAATAAGTGTGCAGACCAGGGGAGGCCGCTCCCTTGTGTGTCTCACCCGGACAGCCAGCAGACTGGGCAGGGCCTTGTGCGGGGCGTGGGCCCTCGTGTGGGAGCGGCTGTCAGGTGGATGAGATGCTCCGTCTCGGCGCCCGGAGTCCTCGTGGCAGCGAGCGGCAAGGGGCTGACAGAGTTTTCAGACAATTCTAGAAGGCCGGTTGTTTTATGACTTTATTTTTTGAGGGATGTGTTTGTGTTTATCATTCTACATATCTGCTCTTTATGTTCTGTTTCACTCATTATTTTTCTAGTTTCTCGTGTTTCTCTCCTATTGTCTGTGACTCTGTGACAAGATTTTATGGGATTAGGCAATTCAAGAGGAAGAATTTTAAAATGATCTGTTTAATTCCTTATAAAACCATATCCTATTGCAAATATTATTGAAATGTTTATATTTTTTGTTTTCTCTGATGTTGAAGACCTTTTGATCTTTAGTGTCAGTCTCTCTGATAGAAAACCAAACCAGGCTTTAAAATCTCAAGGCTTTTTTTACAGAGGCCCAGGAAAAGTTCATTTTTGTTCAGATCCAGACATTCTTTGTAAGGCGTGTAGGTTTGTTGTACAGACTTGTACTGCTGTGAAGAGCAAGCACAGCGCAGCGGGCCATCTGCAGAGCACAAAGCACCCAGCGGCACAGGCGCTATGTGTACGGAGCGTGAGCCTACAGCGGTGACGGGGCAGCGCAGACACGGGTCATTTCTTAAGGTGTTCACAGTGCTTTCCTTTTTGGATATTCAGGGTTCCAAGTGAAATGAATCAGAAATTGTAGTATGCGTAAAAGCACCTGAGATGGTAGCTTGGAAGTTTGTTGACGCCTGCGGAGAAGCGCTCGCCGTCTCTCCATGCTGGGCCTCTGGGCTGCGTCCGGACCTCCCAGCTGTGCATCGCAGCACGTGAGCTGGCGCAGACAAGAACCAGGAACTTTAAAGAGTTTTTCCTCAGTTTCCTGGCAACAAAGGATGAATGAAAAACTTCTCCTTTTTATTTCTTTTTAGTTATGACCCAAGCAAATAGTTCCTTTAAATGCATTTCTTGACTAAGGATCATCTTTTTGCTTTTATTTATGTGTTTTTATCATCCTACAGGGAGTTAAATACCTGTGCATCCCAGCTGCGGACTCACCGTCGCAAAACCTGTAAGTTGTTTTTTGGTCTTATGTCCAAATATTGCAATGAATGAAGGGTTAAAGCTGAGTGAGGAGAGGGTGTGAGAGCCCGGGCCCTGACAGCCCTGTGCAGCTGTGGCCCAGGCGCAGGGACACCTGTGCCCAGAGAGGGGTGAGCTGCGGGCTGGTCCTTTTCCTGTCCTCCCTCTGTAGCCGTGACAGATGGGAGGTCCAGAGCAAGGCTCTGCTTTCCACAAGGGCCGCCGGAAACCAGACCTCCAGGCGCTCGTCTTTGCTGTTGGGCTCACCCTCGTCTGAGGACCCTGCTGTGTTCTGCGCAGACAGCGCATCTCGTGGGCAGCGGCTGCTCTTCACGCACCCGTGGCCATGTGTGGCAGGTGGCCCCTAAGTGTACGCCTGCCCCCAAGCTGGTCTGAGTGGAGCAATTCAAGCTTTCTGGTTTTAGAAAATTCAGCCCTTGCTTCCACACAGCTGAGTAAATATCTGAAGACTCTACCTGTAGAGAGAAGTTCAGTTGCAGCCCTTTCCTGGCAATCTTATCAAGAGTGATGGGAGGGCCGACCAGATAGCTCAGCAGATTAAAGTGCCTGCTTAGGCACATACAGGGACCGGGCTCAATCCCCAGTGTGTTGTGTGGGCCCCGCCCCCCAGGGCATGCTGAGACAGTGATTGAGACTGGGCATGGTGGCATGCACCTATAATCCCAGGGCTTGGGAGGCTGAGGACAAGAGGATCACTATGAGTCCAATCTACGTAGTGAGACCCTATAGACCCTGTAGACCCTGTACTAAACACAGTAAAAAAAAAAAAAGTGATGGGGTTGGGCTTGGGCCCGGTAGCAGTCACCTGTCCCAGAGTGACTCAGAAAGGCTGGTATGGAATGAGTTGCAGTTTTCCTGAACCGCGGGCCTGACCCTCACTGACAGAAGGCTGGATGCAGACGGAAAGTGCTTGGCCCGCTGTGCCCAGCCCAGCCCAGGGGGTGTTGTGCTGTGTGTCTGGGGTCAGAATCAAGGCTGGCCCTGAATCACAGGGTAATTAGACACTCTGGCAGGCCGGGGAGCTGGACTCCCTCAGCTTGCCAGGAATTCCTCCTTCGGAGCTCTGGCATGATGCATACCAACTGTACGTACCCGGAGTGCAGGTCGCACACTTGGGTCTCCTGTCCCAAGGAATCAGCTGCTCCAGAAGTTGTTGGATTCTGGAACATGAGCCAGCCTTGAGGTCTCACTACTGGGAAAGCCAAGCAGTCGTGAACTATGCTGCCATTCTGTGAGCTCCCTGTGAAGACGGAAATAAGGCCAGAGTTGGCTGCATCGGCATGGGGAAATGTGAGGCAGCAGAGTTAGAGCAGGAGAACGTGGGCAGGGGCAGACGAGGCAAGCAGGTCCTACCTGGGGCTGTGCTTCCACACTGACCCTTGGTGGGTGCCGCACGATGAGGAGGACCTTCCGGGTGGAGGATGACGAGGAAGGACTTCACCGGGAAGGCACAGGAGGCGCAGGGCTGCAGGAGGGGCAGCCGTAGAGAACTTCCCTGGTTACTGCTCGTGTCAAGAAACAGAAGTGGTTGGAAGGACATGGTTTATACGGAAGGAAGTGAGCCGCTGCTTTTCTCTGAAGCCCAGAGCAATCTTCTGCCCATGTTTTGATGGCTATTTTTAGGATGGTTGCTTTGTTCTGATTTCCAGTCAAGATGGCACGTTGCTGCTGAGCGTGTCAGCACCCAGTGGGCAGTTTGCTTCTGTAGGAAGATCACACTGTAGCCCGTGCTGGGCAGACGGCACTTGTCCTGGCGCTGCTCCTGATGTGCTCTGCTGGGCCCCGAATGCTGGCTTTCATGTCCATGACAGTTATCTAAGGGGTGAGCCATTCTGTCCGGCAGACGAGTGTGTGTTGGACTGAGGTGTCACGAAGTCTCTAACAGAAACCAGTGCCATCTGCTTGGGCAAGTTATTTTAACCATCTGTTATGTTACCTGAAAAAAGGCTGCCTGCAGGATTTGGGGAGGCAGGGTCAGCACATGTACGTGAACTCACTCTCCATGATGTTAGGAGCTTTGGAAAATATGAGCCCATTTCTACTCAGAGGGCATCGACCTGTCCCGAGAACACAGGCAGCACCCCTTGTCACTTGGAAGGCGTGCGAGGGCAGGGGAGCCAGAGCTTGTCACGCTGCTTTTGTGAGCTGTAGGCTCTTGTGGGCCAGTGAAAATCTTCTGGCAAAACTAGCCCAGTCACCAGGGCCAGAGGACTCCCCACGAAGTTGGATCAGCACAGTCCTCGTCTGGATGTGCAGAGGGCTAGTGAAGCTTCGCGTGTCCTTGTGACCTTCTCGCGTCCAGCGGGACCTCGGGCTTGTTAGGCTCAGGCAGCAAGGGCCGTAGCCGACTGTGGGCTGATGTGCGCGGAGTGTGCTCACGCTGCTCTCCAGTGTAGCCTACACCAGTAAAACTTCTGGAAGCGGAAACAAGCACATGACTTAGCCCTGGGCCAGAGGTGGACCCACTGCAGCAGGGAGTCCTGCTCAGATCACTGGGGTTCTCCTGGGAAACTTCCGGTGTCAGTGCTGTGATAACAACAAGGTTTATGCAGAGAGGGATTCTGGCCCACAAATGGCCATGACTCTAAATATTTCTGGCCATATAGAAGTTATGTGGAGATGGCAGAGCGGAGTGTGCAGCTCTGAGGGTGCTTTGGATCAGTAAGAGACAGCCTGGCACTTCCCCTGCTGTAAGGGTTCCGGCAGGAAGCACAGCATGCTTGGGAGTGGCGAATGTTTTAGTGGTTTTCCTGTTGTTCTGACAGAATTCTGAGGCTCCTTATTTATCCAGGAGGAAGGTATGTTTGGGGTCATAGTTCTGCAGTCTGAAGCCCGATTAGACCACACATCCAAAGTGGCCGTCGTGCTGCTTCCGAACATGACAGAGGGGAAAGGCCGGGGAGCTCGTGCTGAAGGCAGAAGACAGCCGCTCCAGGCAGCTGGCCCTCCGGGAGACGGCGTGCACTCGTGAGGGCGCCACCCCGTGACAAGGCCCTGCCCCAGGCCCACCTCCCACACTGCAGTGTGGAGGAATTAGGGCTCCAGCACGGGAGTTTTGGAGGACACCCTCAGGCTCCAGGAGCCAGCTTGGGCGCCAGTGGAGGGACGAGCCTGAGGCTGGCAGGCAGAATGCCTGGCACTGTGTGCCTGACGCATTGGAGGCTTCCTGTATTCATTACTCACCGAACATTACTGCTCACACGGACCTTCACTTTCTGTGTCATTAACGTGCCTATCACAAACCATGTTCTCCACACTCTGCCCAGTACCAGGCAGCAAGGGCCGGGTCACCCCGGTCCTCGCGAAGCTTGCTCTGGGCAGCCCAGCTGATTAGAAATAACTTGCAGTCTGGCCACACTGGACGCCTGGTGCCTAAGAATTCCTCCCTGTGGGAACTAACTACTTTCTAGAAATTAGTGTTTCTCACTATTTTAAATTTAGGTTCCCATTTTTCAAATGATTTCCACCTTTGAGTATTATTCAGCAGTCTGTATCCTGCATCTGGCCAGTTCTACCTGGTAGGAGGCATCCCTCGGCCGTCAGCTGCTGAGACACCAGAGCAGTCGGCTTGCGCGCTGACCCTGGCCCCCAACGGTCTCCCCTTCTCACCTTCCAGGACCTTCAGGTGCAGACAACAGGGTTGAGATAACATTTCGGCTCAATTCCCCAACCACAGCCCTGCCCAGCTGTGAAATTGTAAAGTTCAAGTTCTCAGCATCTGTGAACCCCACAAGCTTCGTGGTGGTGTCGCTAGGAGAACCCTAGGCTGTGCATCCAGGGTGTGTGCCCCTTGTGGCCGGGGTCGAGGGGCCGGCGAGTCAAGTTGTTAGAAATAGTCATTTTCTGTTTTCTTTTGCTTTCTTTCTGGGTTTCCCTAAACAACTCATTTTCATCTCACTTCTCTCATCTACAAATGCCTGCTCACCAAGGCTGTAGTATTAAATAAGTGAAAGTATTTTTTATGAGCACTAAGCACTTCCAAAAATACAGTTATATTTCATGTCTCAAGTAGGAAGTGTTAGTTTCTTTGAAAGTGAGTGGTTGGGTACACACTAACTTGCATTCGCTCCTTCTTACTTTGGCGTGTATGAAGCTGGTGTTTGGTATTAGACGCCACTAAGCCAGCTCCTATCTCTGGGTTTCTTCTGTCAGCGGAGGAGCTGGCCTTCGCCAGGCTGGGAGCCGCAGCTTTGCATCATAGTGCTTTATGACACTCAGTGGTTGAGAGCCAAGCGGGTCTCTCAGTTTCTTGAGGTTTTTGTGGAAAGGAGAAGCATTAGCAATACAGAAAGCTTGTATTTAAAACACAAAGACTTCCTGACCAGTCGGTCCTCCCAGCTCTGTCTTGTGTTCTTGTTTTAACGGGGCCATTTACACTTGCCACCCACCCCCCACATGCACACACACCTTTGTTTTTCTGTCTACCTTTTCCTTGGCTTTAGTTACCAAAGAGCAGTCCTGTAGGAGCGGAGCTCGTGGCCATGAGTGCTGTGGCCCTGCCTCCAGGTGGCTCCTCGGCTCTGCGGGAGGAGATGAGCGCTCGGAGAAGAAGGTGCAACCGCGTTTTCTACCCTTTGCTTCTTCCCCTCCAGCATTGTCTTTTATTCTTAGACTGTGTTCATGTTGTTTTGCTGTTGAAATGTTTTCTCTTTTGTAGTGATGCTATAATAGATGATAGAGAGGTGTTTTGATTAAGTTTGTGTTTGTGTTGTTCACTTGCTTTTAAAATAATTTTATTTAGAGCCAGGGAGATAGCTCAGTAGCCATATGTGCCTGCCTGGCAAGCACGAGGTCCTGAGGTCAAGGGCCTTGAGTCCTTGGTACTCAAGAAAATAATAACAATAATTTTATTTGGCCAACTGAGAACTGTGGTGTATGTTCCCCTTAGTGTCTTTGGGGCGGTAGTGTTAGGATTAGACCCAGGGCCTTGATGTGCCCCGCACGTGCTCTGCCATTGCGTCATGCCCCCCACTCCCCATGTTTTCAAGACAGAGCATGACACAGACAAGCCAGGCACTGGCTGGTACAGATGTGAGGCGGCCCCATGTGTCTGACGCCTTACCTGTCGGTAGTGTGGAGGATCTTCCCCAGCAGAGCTACAGTAGGGCTTTGCCCGCATAGCCCCAGAGGAAAGGCAGACATGGCAGGGTGTGGGGTCCAGACCAGCTCTGCCTCGGACGGTGGTGGCTTGCACCTGAGACTTCCAAAGCCTGCACTCCAGCAACACACCTAGCCCATTTGTTCCTAAAACACTTCCTTCTAAGAACCAAGCTAAGGATGCTTACTGTTCCAGAGTTTTTCTCCTTTTGCTTCCATTTATCCTCCCCACTGCACACGCACATGCGCATGAGAGTGCACACGTACACTCACATACACGAGGCTGCTCGGTTGCGGAGAAAGCAGTGTCCTGCATCCTCCTCCACCAGCACTGGCTCTGAGGTGCGGCCACCCCCGCTTCCAGGTGGCCAGGGCCCTGGCTTCCCCCTACGCAGAGGACCAGAGTGGAACAGGATAGTCTCAGAGACCGCAGTGAGACTCTGGGCCTCCAGGTACCACAATCTTGAGCAAGAGATTTGGAGCACGAGCTCTGTGCGGTGCGGCTGACCATGTCTCCACCATCATTTCTTGGACCCTCAGAAGGCCAGGAGGCTCTCACCAATGTTTGGGGCTGTGGTCATTGGGGGAGGGGCAGTGGACACCGCAGAGCCCATAAGAAGACACCTCTCGTGGCTGCTCTCTGCCCCTGGGGTGTAACGCACAGGTGCCATGTGAGTTAAAGGCACCCTGGGCCGTGCGTCCTGTGGCGGGCTCTGCTCCACAGGCAGAGCTTGCAGTGTGTGTGGCATGGAAGCAAAGGTTAGCTGCTGGCCCCCAGAGCGAGAACAGGGAACTGGTGTCCATTGAAACAGCTTGTGGTGGCCAGGGCTCTCGACTTGTGCTTCTGCTTCAAACCAGAATTGAGCAATAGAAGAATGCAGGCTGTGGGTATTTCCCACTGTGGAGGAGGGCACCTAATGACCAGAGCTTGGGCCTATGTCACTGGCTTCCCTGGAAAGAACCCACACACACTCAGCACACAGCTCTCCACCAAAGCAGTGCCGAGCTCGCCAGCCCCGCGTTTTTCTTGGAAAAGACATTTCTAGGAATGGCTTCCTGGCTTGGCCTGGTGCCTGATGCCTGCTGGTGTCTGTGAGTCAGGCTTCAGGCAGAGTTCGGCGCAGCCCTCAGCTCCTGGGCTGGGCCTACCAGGGGCCCTGTCACAGTGCTTGCCCCAAGGCTCTGCAACGCTTGCTCTGGACACACCAGTGGACAGGAGCCTTGTCCGGTGGATTGTTCTGGACTTGGCTTTTGTTAGAGGAAAGCACTGGCAGGGCCAGGGGAGGGACATGGCCAATGATCCCTGGGCTCCCGCACAGAGCCACACTGGGCCCAGAACAGGTGTGGCCTGCGCCACTGAGCACACGCCCCTTGTCCTGCAGTGTGGCAAGGCGAACTCCTACACCTGGCTTCACGCCCACAGAGTAGGAAGCTCAGCCCAGTGTGGCCTGCGATGTGCAGGTGTACAAAGCATATCTGGAGGTGGCTCCTGCTCCAGAGCGCAGGAAAGGACTCAGGGGTGGGCCACCCTGCCTCCACGACGACTGTGTGGCTGTGGGCTGAGGGGCTCTAGCCTCGCTCGTTCTCCTGTGAGGTCGGCACTCTTCTCCAGGTCTGCCTTTGCCTCTGCTGCCATGCTGTTCCTTACCTGGCTCTCGCCGACTAGGGAGGGACCACGGGAGCTGCTGTGGCCAGGAGAGCGGCCATCCCTATCACCCACCAGTGCGGAGGACCTGAAATCTGGACAGAATGTCCTAGCCCTTCTCCTTCCAGCCCACCTATAGAACACTGCTCGAGACCCCAGCAGAGCAGGCAGCTGCAGACTCCCTGTAAGCTGCTGGTCTCACGGGGTGCGTGGGGCCGTGAGTGGAGGACCTGCCCAGCAGCAGCTCCCTAGGCCTCTTCCTAGCATAGCAGCAGGCCTGTGCATCCTGGAGCCTCTGCACCCTCTGCCTTTCCTCCCAGGGTTGTCACTGCTGCTATGACAACTGCTACATTCCTGAGCTTGGTGTTTGCAGCTCCCTGGCAAGATCTACAGAGTTGGATCTTTGTGCTCCCATCAGGAGCAGGAGAAGTCCTCAGACAGCCCCCACCCAGGCCTCCTCTGCTTCTAGCTGGTCACAGTGGGAGGAAGATGGCATGTTCCCAGGACCCTAGCACTCTGCTGCTCCGCACAAAACAAGTGCCACTGTGACTGAGTCCAGCCGCTGTTTCAGTGCTACAGGCTGAGGAGACTTCACTGCCAGGGCAGGTGGCAACTCTGTCAATGCCCAGCCAGCCCTTCTGCCTGCAGCCACAGATGCCTGCCGGGTGCCTTACCCAGGCCAGGCTCTCCCTTGTCAAGTCTCCCCAGGACATGCACTTCCCTGTCTGGCTGATGAGGGCCACTAAAGTCTCCGTCTAAGGCTTCAGATTGTAAGGTGATGCAGCGAGTACGCTGTCCAGCCTGCAGCACCCAGGCTCGCGTGTGCACTCTCTGCACTTCTGTACACCCCTTCGTAAGTTTATATCTAGCAGCGTGTGTCCCAAGTGAATCTGATCTTGCACTGCTGTGTTCCTCAGCGACCGCAGATGAGAACGTGGAGGCTTTGGCTTGGTCAGGTCAGCCTTTCCATCTTGCACACTTGCAGGTTTTGACAAAACAGAAGTGTTGGGTTCATGTGTACTCATGCGCATTTAAGTTTTTGTTACTTCCAGCCTGCACTGAAGTACTGAACTACTCCGGGCAGGCTGCTGGGTTTCTGCTGCAGTCCGCAGCTGGTGACATTGCCAGGCCACACATGCGCTTCCCTTCTTGTTCACTCATGCGCTGTTGTTCTGCTGTTGGGAACTGTATCCTGCTCCATACAGATTGTCCAGAGCTTTTAAGAGCCCCCGACAAGTGGCCGGCCAAGCCGAAAGGAAGCATTATTTGGCTCATGGGCAGCTCTTGCTGTGTGCTGTCCCAGACACCAGCTGAAGGTAGAACAGACCGCAAGGGCAGGGACGTCGCCCCTGGAGGCCCCACAGTGAGCCCACCGTCAGCCCAGAACACTGGGTGTGTGGCACCAGACACGCATGCTGGCATGAAGTCAATGCTGTGGGGTTTGAGTCCTGCCCGCCCTCTCTAGGTGACCTGACTCTCACCTTGTCCTCGAACAGCTACTCAGCAAGAAGCATGTGTACCTGCAAACAAGACAACAGGCAGGCACTCCTGGACGTTGGGCTGAATGAGTGACCAGAAAGGGGGGCAGAGAAAGGGGCAGAAGGAACACAGAGCTTCCGTTGTCATTATGGCCCCTGAGAGGCCCAGCACCCTGGAGCATGTCACTAGCCCTCCCTGTGGGCAGCATCCCTGCCAGATCGCTCAGGCACACACCCTGTCCCCCCTGACATGGCAGAGCAGGGCTTTGGAGCTGAAATTCCCACTTCCCTGCAGCAGATGAGACACCCAACATTCAGGGAGACCACCAAGATCCAGGTCTTAGGTTGTCAGAGTGAATCGGCTCAGGACCCAGAGCCCATGGGACATGGGCGCCTTCCTGCCCAGCCCATCATCTCCTGCTCCCTGCACCATGCTGCTGGCCTGGGCATCCCAGCTGCCTCAGCGTCTGGGCTTGTGGGTCAGACCACACGTGGCAAGCTCGGTGCACACCCTCCCCCCCCCCAGTCAGAGGCTGCTTGTGTTCCAGGGATGCCTTACAGAGATCCCAAGAGCCTCCAGCAGCTCTCCTGACCTCAGTGTGTAGCCCTGGCTCCAGCAGCTGAGGAGGCTTTGGAGCTGTGGCCTCAGACCTTTCAAGAAACCTCAGGCAGATGCTGAATAACAGAGACCTCTCCCTCCCCCATCCTGCCCTCCCCCATCCTTCCCCCATCCTGCCCTCCCCCATCTCTCCCCCCTACCGCCTCCCCCCTTTATGCCTAGGACAAGACACTTCAAAGAAAGCATCAAGTTCATCCACGAGTGCCGCCTGCAGGGCGAGGGCTGTCTCGTGCACTGGTACGTATGTCTCTTGCCTAATGCGAGCTCAGCGTGTCCTGTTCACCTGGCTTCTAGTCGGTGTTTTTCCCCACGTGGTTGATTTCACCTCCTGAGAGTTTTATCCGCTTCTCACTCACATACTCCACTTTCCCCCTACTGAGTGCTGGTCATCACTTGCTTTTGTCAAAAGAGAGCCCCAACTACCTTGGCTTTTGCTTATGCTTTTGTGGGTTTTTTTTTCATTCATTGTTAGGATTTCTACTGAGATAGTCAGGGCTACTGGACACTTCATATGTGTGGTTTTTACATTTAAAATTGGTCCTGTACTCGGCCTGCTGGAGATACCTGACTGTTACTGCTGAGAGCATGCAACATTGCCGCTGTGCCATTTGAGGCAGTTGTGTGTAAAAGAACACAAAAGCACAGTTTGTCAAGGGCTCCTGGATTCATGGGCTTTTAAAATTGTAGATTTAGTCTTTGATTGCAATGACTAAGAAAACCAGACCTTTAAAAGCATGAGTGTTTTAAATCAGTGCAGGTTGTAAATGGATTTGTTGCAAGGAGCTTGGAAGCCTCAGGTCCCCTTGCTTAGTTTTATCCAAGGAAATGTAAGAGGTCTAAGTAAGGCTCAGCAACAAAGCTGAATGATCTGGAGCCCTGTGCTGCAGAAAATCCCTAGAAAATGAGGCTGAGCCACCGAGACAGGTGTGGGCACAGGGAGGCCAGACTCTCCCCTGGTGGCCACCCAACAGCACGCTGCCAGTGTCCATGAGCAGGAGCGCTCTACCAGGAGTCCTGCGGTTCACTCACCCCTGCATGTGTGTCTCCACCTGCAGCCTGGCTGGGGTCTCTAGGAGCGTCACGCTGGTGATCGCGTACATCATGACCGTCACGGACTTTGGCTGGGAGGATGCCCTGCACACTGTGCGTGCGGGCAGGTCCTGTGCCAACCCCAACCTGGGCTTCCAGAGGCAGCTGCAGGAGTTTGAGAAGCACGAGGTCCACCAGGTGAGCCATCCTGGGGTGGGGGTGGGGTACGGGGGGCTTTCCAGACCAAATGCGGCAGCTGCCCGCAAGCACCCTGAACCGAAGCAGCCCAGAGGACACCAGGTCCCCTGGTGCCCACAGAAATCCCCAGTCCCACGTCTGTCACTTTTAATGTGCTAGGTCTCCCAGCACCTCCTGTGTCTCCCTTTGGGTGGAGTGCTGTTTCCTCAGTTTTGGAGGCTGTTTTGTTTTGGGTTCTTTTGTTTTTTGTTTCCACTTTAACTCATTTTAATCTCTAAGCTTTTAAAGAAATCATCAACGAGGTAACAGCATGTTGCTTTCCAATGCTGGCCTCCTAAGCCAAAGTTTAGGTTTTTCTTTCAGCTGAAGCAGGTTCTTCCTCTTCCTGAGAGTGCTCCTGTGTCGCAGAGCTTCTCTCCTTCTTTCCCCCACGAGTCCTCCTCTCACCCTAGCTGCCACCCTCAGGGATAGCAGGAGGTCACTCACTTCTTGTCCCTTGCGTCTGTCATGGAACCCTTAGCTGCAGACAGTAATGGCCCCGGGCCCACCAGATCGATGCGTTGGTTTGACTTACTATCATCCTCAGGCTGGGAGGGGCTGTTCTCTGGCTTTGCACCAGCTGGCCACCCACCTGCCCAGGTCTATACCATTAAATTGAACGCAAGTGTTTATTGGTGACATTTTGGATTTGTTCCCACTTCCTCCAGTACCGGCAATGGCTGAGGGAAGAATATGGTGAGAACACTTTACGGGACGCAGAGGAAGCCAAAAGCATTCTGGGTAAATATAAAGAGCAAGGGCGCGTGGACATGCAGCCGGGCGCTAGGCGGTGGAGCAGCTTCTCAGCCCTGCCTCCTCTGACCTACAACTATTCCTCGGAGACCTAACACAGAAGGACTGTTCTTCTGGCCACCGCTTGTGTTCCACGCCCGCCTGCCATGGGGTGGTTTGCTGGTGTGCTGGTTGCAGGGTTGCCCTGGGACGTCACCCAGCCCTGCTCACCTGCGCCCTGACCTCGTCTGCCCGAGCTCCTGGGCTGCCACACACTGCGGTGCCGGTGCACACGTGTGAGCCGCGGTGGGTGCTTGCGCATGCACGGCGTGGAGCCGTGTGTGCAGCGTTGTGAGGCTGCTGGCTCGTGAGTGCACAGGCATGTGCATCGTGAGAGCCAAGAGTCCTCAGCCCTTGATGCCCAGGTCGGTGTGGCCACCCGTCCCTCCCCTGTTGCCACGTGGAAGGCTCTTGCCCCCGACCTTGGCCTGGGAGCAGACAACGACAGGGACTGAGAGGGGGCGGAGCCACCCCCAAGGAGTGGGGGCTGGCCTTGGGGCGGGAAAGCGCATGCTGCTCCCCTCAGGGCCCATCAGCCTGTCCTGTTCCTGAGGTCTGCTTGGTGTCTGGCTGCACTCGAGGTTCTCCAGCCGAGGTTTCCTGGTCAGAGGGCCCTCCTGCCTCCTCTACCTGCTGCGCACAGTCCCAGCCTCTCTCCCGCCACCTTTCTCCCTGTGCAGGGGCCCCTTGAGGTTTGCATGCGCCTGCAGGCATTGGGAAGAAAGAGCACTCACTGGGCCCTGTGGCCGTTCCTTGGCCTGGGCTTGTGCTAGACTCCCTGTTGTAAACCATGGATTTGCTCTTTCGTCTCAGCTACCTCATTAAAGGTCTCTGAAAAGGTGTCTTTGGCTGTTCTGGTCCTCTCTGCCTCAGAATTAAAAATGGCTGGTCCTGTTTGCTGTGGCCACCAAAGGCAAGGTGTTGGATCCTCGGCTGTGTATCACTCTAGACTGGCTTCCCACGATGTTTCTGGGGGCCGCGATTCTATGTTGAGACTGGAGGGCTCCTGTGCGCGCCGCGAGGGCTGCGGGGGCCTGCGTGTGTGCCGGCTCGGTGCTTTATCCCAGCTGGCGTTGCTAAGCACCCAGGGCCACACAAATGGAGATGCACTCCTCCTCTCGAAAGGATGTCGCCGTCCAGTTTCTCCAAATCCCACTGCGGAAAGTGCTCTGGGTGCGAGGGGCGGTCTCTGTGAAGCCGGGGGCGGGGCCGTGCGCCTGTACTGCAGGACAGAGCTGTGGGCGCAGTTCGCTCCCCGTCAGCTAAAATGACTGCCTTTAAATTACACTCTTTTTTCTTAAGCCAGAAGAGATGTAGACATACAGATAGAGAGCCACAGACGTAGCTCAGCGTGCTCGCCTCGCGGGTACCAGGCCCCAGGTATAATTGCCAGTACAAAAAAAAAAAGAGAAAAAGAAAAAGAGGACATAAGAGTGAGTGCTGAAGCATGCACACATTTATGAATGACTCTGTATTCCTGTAGGCTTGGGACTGTTTTAATATTTGTTGCCAGCAGTGTCCTTTCTCCACAGCCACTCCAGGAATTCTGAAGCACTGGGCCTTTCTCCGGAGACTCTAACACACCTGAAGTTTATGAAATATTGCAGTGTTTGCTGGCACTGCCAACAAGCAAAGCAGCCTCGAGTTTATTTTTAAGTATCCAGCAGTGATTTGTAAACCTGTTTGTTTTCCATCCTAAACTGCGAGTGTGTGTGGGCAATGTGTTGAGACCTGTGGGGGTCCTTCAGCAACACGAAGCGCTGTGGCCTCACTTGTGGCTGTTCCTAAGACCAGGCTCAGACGCTGCTCAGCCCCCGCGGTGACTGCTGCGATTGCTTCCCACCCACAGCTGCCGGAGGAAGAAGCCTGGGCACGTGTGTGAGCCCCACCCTCCTGCTCCCAGACCCCGAGCCTGTGGGCGGCCCCAGGCTGTGTCCCCAGGACTTATGGTGTCTACAAGGGCACAGTTTAATTAATAAATTGCAGCTCAGCCTGAGCAGCTCAACACCATGGGCAGTGCGTTCTTCCTGGGCCAGTCACGACACTTCCGTGTGATTTTGTGGCTGACACAGCAGGACAAACCTGCAGCTGGGCTTGGTCAGAGGCTGTTGTCCTCCCCAAGGAGCACTGGACTCTCTGGGGAGGACAAATGAGCACCTCTGTGACCAAAACAAGCAAGACCCTCAGCGCCCAGGCTCCATCCCCTAGCACTGGGAGGAGAAAGGAAACGGACGGTCGCTCCTCCCCACAGTGTGGACATAAGCCACACTGAAGCTGTGCTGTGCCTCGGCACAGTATTCCTGCAAGTGACAGGGACACCACAGGCCTCCCCTGTGGTCACTGTGTCCAGCTGTTCTAAGTCCACACTAGGCATCTCTCTGGGAGGGGCAGACCGAGGAAGAACAGTGAAAATCCATACCTCCATCCCACCACCAACTGGAGAGGAGGAGAGATTGCACTTTTTACCCCAACGGTGAGTTTCCCTCGAAGGCTTTCACGTGTGCGTGTGTGTGTGTGTGTGGGTGTGGGTGTGGGTGTGGGTGTGGGTGGACAGAGGTGAGCTCTTAGAGACCAGAAAAAAGTCACCTCACCACTGCAGATGTCTGGGTCCCAGGTGTGCGGCTCTGGAGGTGGCAGCACATAAGGCCTCTGTCTCTGATGTGCAGGAGCTCATAGCATGGACCAAGAGCAGGGGTAGTGGGGACTCTGGCTGCAGCTCTGAGGGGCACGAGGGCACTTCGCAGGCCACAAGATCACCTGTTCATGTGCTAACTCAGCGTGTGCACCTGTGTGACAGGAAGCCTTCTCATCAGTGCCTTTGGTGTCTCAGAGGCCAGACAAGGAACCAGGCATGTGTCCGAGGCACACCTGTGGGAGTCACTGCGGAGCAGGACTGCTCCAGCACAGTCTCAGGAAGACCTTCCTATGTGCAGGACGCAGGGCAGCCCCAGCAGGAAGCAGGCATCCTGGTCACAAGCCCAGCCTGCAGGGACAGAGGCAGCAGTGACTGTGGGTCCTACTGTGCCCAGAACCTCCCAGTCCTGCTAGGGCAGCCTTAGTCCTGCCTGGATACTGGAAATCAGAGACCCCTCTGCTGCCAGACCGGGCCCTCGTGGGTCACACCCAGGAAGGGAGTGTGTGTGTGTGTGTGTGTGTGTGTGTGTGTGTGTGTGTGGTGGGTGGACAGAGGTGAGCTCTTGGAGACCGGAAAAGCAGTCACCATGCTTCCAATACAGACCCACTCTGGCCCAGAACTCGGAGTCAAGGCCTGCCCAATGGGAGGCCAAAGGGGCTGCCCTCACCTCGTATCCTTCATATGCACATGACGAACCTATCTTCAGCACAGCAGTACGGGGACCCAACCGGGACTCGGGCTGCTCCCGATGTTCTGCTCGATGCTCGGGCGGAGAGGAGCTGGTGGCTGGAGGTGAGGACGCATGGGCTCCTGAGCCACGGGCTGAGGTTGTTAGAGGATGAGTGTCCCTTATTTAAATGTTTGGGGCCAGAAATTTTGGAAAGTTTGAGTTATCTTTTCTGACTTTGAAGTATTTGCATAATGAGATAGTTTGGGGCCAGCCCCCTCTAGAAAGGCAACATCCAGTTGCATTTTATCTGGCCATCTTGCCCACAAAACCTGAAGGTGATTTTATGCAGCATGGTTAGTCTGCTTGCCTCTTCCCTGCCCTGTCTCATGAGATCAGGTTTCAGATTTCTCATTAGAAAAAGCACTCAAAAAGTGTATTTGGGAACAATTTGGATTTCGGGTCAGCGGCAACTAGTTAGGGTCCTGCCTGTTCGGGTCCTGGTGTCTGTGAAGAGGGCTTCAAGGACCTGGAGCTAACAAGCTCCAAGAGGAAGCTGGGTCCCAGAGGCTGGGTGCCCAAGTGGCAAGCCTGCAGGAGGCAGAGGCATGGCCTGCATTCTGGGACACTGAGGATGCTGAGTGGGCAGGCAGAGTGGTCCTGGGTAGGCAGCAGGGTCCCTCAGTGCCTGTAAGAATGGGTGTCCGTCACCAGGCTGGAAGGTGGCTGCCAGCACCATCCTGGAACAGGAGCTCCGCTCCTACCTGGCATGGCTCTGTGAGGGTCCAGCCAGGGATGGACAGGAAGGACCCATGGACCAGAAGGGACAGTGACCTCTCTACTACCAGTGCTGCTACTGTTCGCCCCTGTGGTGGTGTGTGGGCCTCTGTCTTATTAAGGTTCTGTGGGACAGAAATGCTAAAGAAGGGATGGACCCCGTCCCAGGTCCCAGTCCTGAGACAGTGGCTTGTGCTGGGCGTAGGTGAGGTGTGCTGCGCCCAGGACACACTCCGGGGAGTAGACCCGCGAAGTGAAGAAGGACTGCAGTGCCCAGCCTCCTCACTCTTGGAGAAGGAGAAGGTGCCCACTTTCCAGGGGCTGCTTTGGCCCAGCTGGGCCCACCACCAGAGCAGGCTGGGGTCAGTGGAGCCCTCAGGCTCCATGCAGTGAACCCCACAGTGGCCGGAGCCTGCGTTGCAGTACCCTGCCTGCTGTGTCCCAGCCAGCAGCCAGCGGCCACCACCCCAGGCTGGACCACACAGGAGCTGTGGCTGTGCCGCCCACTGTCCTGTGGTGGGCCCTGGGCCCCGAGCCCCTGTGCCAGGAAGACCCTCTTTTGGGTCACGGCTGGCCTCCCATGGACTGACTGTTCCAAGTGACTCTGTGGCTAAAGTCACAGTTTGCAGAGTACCTTCCTTAAAAGGGCAGCTGCACTTCCCCAGAGGCATTCCTGCTGGTGGCTTTGTAAAAACTTACCGAGTGTGAATTCCTTCTAGTTTCTGTCTCAGCAGGGAACTGCATTTTCACCTTGGGGGTGTCTCCTGTCTCTCACCCCTAGAGACAGCTATGAGTTCATGAGGGGGGAGTGTGTATGGGTGGGTGTGGATGGGGGGTTGTGGAGACAGAATTGATGAACTTCCTATCAGTGAACTCCTGCACTTTCAAAGGAGACCCTCCCTCCCTCCCTCCCTCCCTCCAAGGTGCCCTGTCTAGGACTTGGAGGCCCAGATCCCAGACACTCTGCCTAGGCAGAAGGTGCCGGGTGCCACCCAGGGAGACCCCAGAGCCCAGGCCCCACGGCCAGAGCTGGGCACCCAGTGCTACACTGCACGTCCACCTCTAGGCATAGAAATAGGGAAGATGGCAGGAGCCACACCCCTGCCATCCCACACTGGGTGGCCCTGCCCATCCTCCTGAGTTATTAATAAGTTTATTAAGAATGTACTCTCAACACACTTGCATTTATATATGTACTTAACAAGAAATCACCACAAGTACACAGGGTGGTTCCTCTTCCCTTTTTTATGGTCCAGAGAAAGGGAGAAATAGAAGAGGAGAGAAGAGGAGGGGAGCAGAGAAAGAGAGATACAAGGTGGAGAGAGGGAGAAAGGGAAGATGAAAAGAGGGAAAGGAGAGGAAAGGAAGGAAGGAAGCAGGAGGGTCTGCCTTCCTTGTCACTTAGAAGCTTTTCCACCTTCCAGTGCCATGGATGTCCCTGTTCTCAGACATGCAGACGCCCAAAGGCTGGGACAGGGTTCCGGGTGGTCAGAGTGTCACCCTGCGGAGACAGCTGGACACTTCCCTGCCTTGTTTCCCCACCCCCTTTGGAGACTCTAGGCCTTTGATCACTGCAGGGGACACTAACCATCTTGGCATCATTTCTGCCAGCCCCAAATCATTGCCTGATTGTGCAGCTCGGGAACAGCCAGCTGCAGCTAGCATCTGTCACAGCCGCAGGGCCGAGTCTGGTCTCTTTCCATCGGGGGAAAGAATTGCCAGTTCACATTTGAACATCTGCAGGCTGCGGTTTATTTTAGCTC